TTTCCTCATAATGGTTTTTTCCTGTGATGGATATGAAATGACCTTCTTCATCTCTTTTATTTTGAAGTCTATTTTCTTAGATAATAGGACACCTCCAGATGCAGGTGGGCCCAAGGCTCAGGTGGTCGCTCCTCCAGGTGCAGGTGGACCCAAGGCTCAGGTGGTCGCTCCTCCAGATGCAGGTGGGCCCAAGGCTCAGGTGGTTTCTCCTCCAGGTGCAGGTGGACCCAAGGCTCAGGTGCTCACTCCTCCAGGTGCAGGTGAGTGTGTGGCTCCAGTGGTTGCTGATGTGGCAGGGTAACTCATACAGTGGATGGCAATGGATGCTGACTGGGACGCAGGTGCTCTTTCCCAGAGGGACTTCTTAATACAGTTTCTGGAAGCCATTGGTATTGATGCTTCTGGTTGCCACCGCATTACCTCTGACAATTCCAGGCTGGGGCTGGGGTCACTACTGTGCTCTCTCTCTCTCTCTCTCTGATGCTACTCAAAAAGGAAGGTTTTAACTTTAATATAGTAAAATTACACACAGCAAAACAGTTATCAAGTAAGAGTTATTGTTACAGTATCTAGACTGTTTGTATTTGATAAAATTAGGGAAAATATTTAATTATCTATCATATCTTGGAGTTAAAGTTTAATATTTAATTCATCTTTTATTGTAACTAAGGAAAATTATAACTATAATTATCTAGTTTTTAACTTCATTGAAGACCTGAGTAGGAAGTAATATTACTTGAGTAAACAGGAAGTGCAGGCAAACAACTTCTAAAAAAAGTGAGAAACGACAGAAACAGCTGGCTGCCTGGATAGTCACCCAGTGTTCTTCTGTAACGTTGAGGCAAGCACATCGTCCTACTTGCCTAGCATAAGGACAGGCTTTTCTGTGAAGCAGAGTTTTGAAGGACTGTCCTACCCTGTCTTGGCAAAGCTCAACAGTTGCCTTTCTTGTGTCCTGTTGGTCCAGTTTGACAGTAACGGTTAGCAATTGAGGCAAGGGCAGTTTCTTTGTCTACAAGGCTAGCTTTTGCCATAAAAAAAATAAACTCAATATGGAGTGTCTTTGGTGCCCATCATCCTCTTTAGAAGTAGATCTGGGCTGCCAGGAGCAGATGCATCTCATGTCAAGGAAAATGTAAGTTGTTAAAACATTTTAAATGGCATATTTTATAGGGCTTTGAAATGTTTTAAGAATACCTGTCTACCTGAAATATATCTTTGAATATCTAGAAAATCTAATTAACGTGACTGTAAGTTTGATTATTATAGATGACTAACTATACTTTATAATTTTGTATTTTTAATTATATATTTTAATTGAGCTTTAAAAGCACAATGTATACATATATAGTATAGCAAAATTACCCTTAAATTTATATCAACCAACTAAAATCTATACTGATGTAAAATATTTTGAGATTAACAGTTGTTTTTAGAATTAAAGTAGATTTAATAATATAACCTTTTCCCCAACAAATTTATATCATATCCCCTTTTCTTCTTTTAGAAAGAGATTGCCCATGACTAATAACAATCTGTAGCCAACTCCCCTTATATGAAAACAAACATTTCTAAGGAATATGCTGGGAATTTGGGCATAGTTCTCTAGACTATTCTCTGCTGATTGGTGGGCACTGGTAATCTTTGAGGGGCCCTGAGAAATTTAGAATTGTGATCAAGACTTGGCTGTAGTAGTCTGTGAGGCTGGATCATCTCAGTCAGCAGCCTTGAAGCTGTTTTGGATGTTGGATCATCTGGGCTCTTTTTACTGGTGTCTGGTTCCCTTGTTTTGAAAAAACATAAACTTTTGAAAGGGACATACATATCTGTATTAATAAAGTATAGACTGTGTGTTGTACATAGGCTAGACAAAGATGATTTCTTTGTTATGTGTTTGAGGGGGTAAAATATACAGGAGCCTGGGTGACACAGAAACAGCTGTATCACCTTAACATCCCCCAAGCCAGGATGCCAGCTCATGAGACTGTGTCCTGGGCATGGGGGACCTCCATGAAGCATGACTGTGGGGACTTCGGGGGCTGATGCTCTCCTTCAGTGAGGGGCTCTGGGTAAGGCTGAGGAGCTCATGCCACCCCTCTGGCCAGGAGAGAGAGCGTGTCTGTCTCTCATCCTCTGAGGTCTTTGGTCACGCGGCTTCAGGTGTCTGTTGTTGGAGGCTCAAGGCTGAGGCTTGCGACAAGCTATCTGCCAGGCCCATGCTCTCCACCCAAGGTCTTTGCTGCTTAGAGTGACAGCTGTCTGCTGTCCTCCAGAGCCCCAGGGTGTGGGCCAAGCAGCGTTCTCCCTCCATCACAGAGAACATTCAGGCACAGAGAGGTGAAGCAACTCGCACACAGCCACACAGCTAGGAAGAATTCTCAGACTCTGAACCCAGTTTGCCTGTCTCCACACCTGGTCCCTTCACGTTTGTTTTTGTTTTTAGAGACAGGGTTCCTCTGTGTAGCCTGGGCTGTCCTGGAACTCGCTCTGTAGAACAGGCTGGCCTTGAACTCAGAGATCCGACTGCATCTGCCTCCTGAGTACTGGGATCAAAGCCGTACTCTGGGCCACCCAGCATGACCTGGTCCCTTTCTGTTTGCATCTGCTGGTCTCTACAGTGGGGGTCAGGACAGAGAACTGTCCTGAATGAAGGTCACAGCCACATGGCCTTATGGAGAGTTGGGACACGAATTGGGACCCTGCTCTGCCCTAAGTGTCAAGTATGTGTTTTGCACTCTCACTGCCTTGAACCCTCAAGCATCCTATTATGAACCCACTTTATAGTCAAGGAAATAGAAGCTCAGAGATGCTAGGCAATTTACCCAAAGTCACACAGTGAGAAACAGAGGTCCCTAGAACCAGAACCTGTGCAAAGGCCCTGAGGCAGGACAGGCACAGGGCACAGTACAGTGTCTGGGCGTGTAAAGATTGGCCACGTCAGAGCTGGGGCATCTGCAGCTATGACTTCCTGTTCCTCCAGCAAGGCTTTGTCGGCCCTGGGCTCGGGTTCCTACTGAGGATGGAGGGAGTGGGGTGCACAAAGGTCCAAGCCGTTAACAGCTTAGAGCAAATCAAGTCGTTTTAAAGACCTAGAGAGGGAGAGGAGTGGGCGAGTACTGGGAGCCTGGGAAAAGCTTGCTGCCTGCTTCTGCGGATGGTAAGGGACTCGTGTGTGTGCGTGTGTGCGTGCATGCGTGCGTGCGTGTGTGTGTGCATGCGTGTGTGTGTGTGCATGCGCGTGTCCAGCTGCCTGTGCAGTCTTGGGGAGCCTCAGAGCACCAGAGGAAACAGGAAGTGAAAATGCCTATAGTGAGGGAAACAGGCAGTCACAGACAAGGAGGGGGAGGGGCAGGAAGACAGGGAGGAGAGCTGAGGAGGACCGTGACAAGAAGAGAGGGGGAGAAGGGAGGGGAGGAAGTGGAGAGGGAGAGGAGAAGGAAGGGCCCACACAGACCCCTGAGCCCCGTGTCCCTGATTGGAGGCTTCGGACAAGGTCCCGGCCACTTCTGCCTTCCAAGCAAGCAGCTGCCCACTGTAAGGGCCTCAGCCCAGGCCACGCATCAGCTGTAAAGCCAGGCCAGGTCCCAGAATCCTACACACAAAGCAGAGAGCTTTGTCCTCCCACCTACCCTGTGTCAAGACTCTGCAGGGCCTGTGACACAGGTGACCGTGGCTAAAGCCAGTCTCTTAAGAGCAGGAACTCCCTGGAGCCGGGCAAGTTCCCATCTTGCTCCCCCCGTTCTTTTGGCTTCCTTTTAAGGATCTGCTTCGCAAGACTGTAGCCCAGGTTTTCTGACTCAGGACTGGGGGGCCAACCCCGACAGCACCCATCACTCCACATCCAGAGAATCAGCATGGGGGCAGCAGGCACAGACCCCAGAGGCTCTGCCTCCCAGCACAGGAGAGAACCCAATACCCTAATCAAAGTTAAAGGGATTGGCGCCTACGCTCAGACCTCCTTTTACCCCAAAGATCACCAGGCTGGGAAGTAGCAGAACCATACGCCAGGGACACCCAGATAGCTGGAGCTTGGGTGAAGATCAAGAGCTTTGACCACATGGAACCAGATGGAGGCTTGTGGCCCGGCCTTCCCTTCCTTCCACATGCCTCCCTCCCGCCCTTCCCCAGGCTCTTGTGTGGGCTTCCCAACGTGACAGCATCACTCACACTGAAGGTGACAGTGAGAGGCTGGGCATAGTTGAGATGGGGGGGGGGCTCTGAACTGAAGGTCAAGCAGGGGTCAGCCACAAGATGACTTAGGGACAGAAAGTGCAGATGCCAAGGACACAGCGCAAGGACACGCCTCGTGCTGAAGACAGGAAACGTGGAAAGTCTGTGTTTGGAGGCGGCGTGGAGAAGACTGGTTTTGAGTCCAAGTGTATTATTGTCAGTTGCCATGCTGTGAAGGGGCCACAGTGAGCTGAAGCAGCCTTGAAGGAGCTGTGAGCCCAGCAGATGCTCCCTGTGCCCTGTACTCCCCCATGAGGCTCCCAGAGCCCAGAGGCCAGCAGCAGGAATTCGGTTTCCCACCTTCTGTGGGTGAAGTGTCTGCCGTGCAAACGTGAGGGCCTGAGTTTGCCTCCCCGGAAAAGAACCAGATGGGGAAGTACTTCTGCAATAGCAGTTCAGGGAGGCAGACGAGTAGATCCCCAGAGGCTCAGTGAGAGATCCTGACCAAAAAGAAAGGTGGAGGCCAGGCAAGATGGCTCAAAGGATAAATGCTCCAGCCCCCAACCCCGCTGAGCTCAAGTCCATCCTCAGGGCCCACACGGTGGGAGAGCGGAGCCTGTTTCTGCAAACTGACCTCTGACCTCCGCATGTCCATGCAGCACAGGCACACCCACCCACGCAAAGTGAATAAACATGTCATTAAGCAATCGAGGCAGAGGCAGAATTGGAAACACCCTGGATGTTGACCTCTGACCACCACAGGCGCAAACACGGACATACACATGTTTACTCCCACGCACATGCCCACAAGATTTTCCCCTTCTCCCAAGGCTCCATCCCAGCAACAGTAACCCGGGTCCTACGGAAGAACGCCACGGACTCGCTCACCGTGTGCTGGGGCCATCCCCTGTCACAGCAACCCTGAAAGCTCTGAGCTCTTGTCCCCATTCTCCAGGCCAGGAGACCCCGCGAGTGTTGGGAAAGCACCAGGGTGAGTTAGGAGGCTGAGGGTGGGCCTGCGGGCTGGGGGCAGGGCAGCAGAGGGATGGGCTAGAGGTCAAGTCAAGCCTTCATGCCAGACTGGAGAGCAAGGTGTGTGCTCAGGTAAGTACACGTGGCGAACTCACAGTGTGTACACAGATAACATGGACACACGTGGACACGTGTATGGACCTGCCACACGCCTGGCATACGTTTCCACATGCTTGTGCACCCCAGTGACCATACGTATGGTCACTCAGTCTCTCACAACAGGCCGTCTGGGCGTCTTTCCTCAGCAGTGACCAGGGATCATTCATTTCACAAACACATTTGGGGCCTCTTGGGTGACAGACCATGAAGTGGGCACCACACACCCAGCAGACAGCCCTCGGCTCTCCTGGCTCCCGCAGAGCTCCTGATCTGGGGTGCAGAGTGAACCCACTCTGTGGGGACTGGTTTGTTGTCCTGGAGGACTGTGGGAAGCATGGGGGGGCACGTGCAGTTGTGTAGGGAAGGCTAAAGCAGAGAGCTCACTGTCCTCTCTTGACCCCAGGCCACATAGCTGCCTGCTCTGTTTCCCCCGCACTGGCAGAGCCTAGGGGACCCAGTGAAGGAGTCCAACACACACCACACACACACATACACCACACACACCATATCATACAAACACACACCACATATACCACAGACCACATCACACACACAACACATAACACACATGCAACACACCACACATACACACACATCATACACACACCACACACATGCAACACAACACACACACACACACACATCATATACACATACCACATCATACACCACACCATACCACACACACATACACACATATACACATCACATATATACCCCACATACACATACCACACCACACCGCACACCGCATCATATATGTCACACACACACATATGCACACTACATATATACCCCACATACACACACCAAACCACACACCCCACACTATATATGTCATACACACCACACACACCATACACACTGCACACACCACACATACATCATGACACACACATATACACCACACACATACACACACAAACACACCCCTTCCACACACATCACACACAAACACACCCCACACACCACACACACACACACACACACACACACACACACCACACACACACACCCTCAGTTTCCCCAGTTGAGCTCTGCGACGTAAGCGGTGCTGCTGTGTGGAGGCAGGGGCCAGCCTTGTGCTTCAGGCAAAGACCAGCCCCCGTTTAGAGCTATACTCAGCACCTGGCAGCCACACCCCTTCACGCAGTCCACCTGTACCTAATGCAGCCCCACAGGCCACCTTCCGCCAAGACCACGTGAGGGGCGCATGGCACCTCCAGGCTGCCCTCGACACCCCACACCACCGCCACTCAAACATCCACCTGCCCACCTCTCGAGACACAGCTCGCCCAGCTTCTGCCGCTGCCCAGGCAGGCCAGGGACAAGCCGGCAACACCCACCACCCCCAGCGGAGGCACTCTGAGCACTGAGCAGCAATGCTCTCTCCTTTCCCTCAGGCACTCCTCTGAAGAGCGGGAAATCGATGGATGCCGAAGAGCGGGTGCGGAGAACAGACCTGAGCGGGGTGGGGGGGTGGGGAGGGGAAGGGGGTGGATGGGAGGCCGGTGCCGTGCACACACTAGCTCTGCTTTGCACCGGTCCAGTGGTGGGCAGGGCCTGGCTGGGCACAGGCTGTTTTCGTCTTTTCCTATTTTTGTGCAGGTTACAAAAGCCACAAGTGCAGAAGGAGGAATGCAAACCTCCCGGCCCGCATCCCTCAGTGACCTTCCTGTTAGCACATACGGTAAATCCTTGCAGCCCCTTCTCTCTGCATAACCACACACGCTTTATTTTTACAAAAATAGGACATGCTCAATTTCTGGTTTTCGTCTAGGGCTGTGTGGCCACATCCTCTGTGTCTGACCTGTCACCCCCACGGAGACGCCCGGCGGCTGCACAGTGACCGGCCGGTCCTGTTGGATGGAGAAGGCACAGCTTGCACAGCCCTCTCTACCTCTCAGCTACGGGACCTCCGCGGGCGGCCTGTGCTGAGATCTCTCAGGCTTCTCTCTGTGCACTGCGTCCCCATGGCTGCCTCTCTCTGTTTGTGGCCAGGATTCCAAGAGAAGGGTCCATCCACGGAGCAAGGGCACACCACAGACCCTCGGTCAACCCTGTCCATCACTGTGTTTTGTTTCTATTGCTATAGTAGTAGCTCTGTAATAGTCTTCTCTGAGTAAACTGCCTGCTCAGCTTCCCTTAAAGAAGGCTGTAGCAAGCGCTGGTGCCAAGAAATCTTTCCCAAATCCTCAGAAAGTTCTAGAAGAATGCACATGTGAAGGCCTTGACTGCCAAATTCTCCTGTAGAAATGTTCTCATGACACTTGTCCTGTGTCACCCATGGATGTCCACAGTGGGGTTCCTCAGGACAAGGGGATTTGTTTTCACAGTGCTGAGGGCAGAGCCCCAAGGCCAAACTGCCACCAGGGTTCCTCTAGTCCTTCCTTGATTTTTCAGAACCTCTCAGCGGTTGGTGACTCCTGACCTGTGGCCATTTTTATCTCGGCCTCAGTGGTCATATGGTGTCCTCTCTGTCTGTATGTCTTCTGCCTGTGCGTCTCTTATAAGGACAGTTGGTGTTGTCCTTTAATACCTTTAATAGCAGCACTCGAGAGGTGGAGGTGGGCAGAGCTCTGGTCTACATAGCAAGTTTCAGGACAGCTACATAGAGAGGCCCTGTCTCAAAACAACCCCAACCAAAACAAACAAACAATGAAAGGGCAGTTGGCATCAAATTTACGGTCCAGGTGTACAGTCACAGATGCCTCTATCTTAAGATGCTAACAGAACATGGTGACCCATGGTGACACAGGCCCTTCATTCCACACTTGGGTGGCTGATGCAGGAGGAGGACCATCCTGAATAAATTAGTGAGACTCTGTTTCAAAACTAAAAATTAGAAAAACACGGACCGGAAGACCCAAATGTGTCCATAATCCCAGAAGATATAGACAGGAGGATGGAGGCTGTTCGGGGCTTGCCTGGATTATTAAGACCCAGTTTAGCTGGGTGGTGGTGGCGCACGCCTTTAATCCCAGCACTTGGGAGGCAGAGGCAGGTGGATCTCTGTGAGTTCGAGCCAGCCTGGTCTACAGAGTGAGTTTCAGAACAGCCTCTAAAACAATACAGAGAAACCTTGTCTTGAAAAACAAACCAAAACAAAAGACCCAGTTTAAACACACACACACACACACACACACACACACACACACACACACACACACTAGCAAAGGGTAGGCCCTGGGGTTCACATCCCTCAACTTCTTATCGTCACACTGGCATACTTTCCCAAGCAAGGTCACACAGGGACTGAGCATCTGGACTCACAGAATCTCTGACCACACACAGGATCAAGGCCATAGGACCCTGTAGGGTCTCCATTCCCTGATCATGGAGGTGACTTCTGATTTTTACATTTGTGGGCATGCTATAGAGTCTTCAAAAATGCCAAGCTGTGGTGGCGCATGTCTTTAATCCCAACACTCAGGAAGCAGAGGTAGGTGGATCTCTGTGAGACCAGCTTGGTCTACAGAGTAAGTTTCAGGACAGCCACCAAAGCTACAGAGAAACCCTATCTTGAAAAAAAAATGTATCTCAGTCTCTCTCCCTCTCCCCCCTTCTCTCCTCTGTGTGTGTGTGTGTGTGTGTGTGTGTGTGTGTGTGCGTGCGCGCGCACAGTGTATGTGCTTTGATGCATATATGAAGGTCAAAGAACAATTTACAGGAGTCAGTTATCTCCCTCCACTATGTGAGTTCTGGAGATTAAACCCAAGTCATGAGACTTGGTGACAGGTACCTTTACTGGCTGAGCCATCTTCCTGGCCCAGAGTCTCCTTTTAGGCCCAGGGTCTTGGATTGTAGTCAGTGAAAGGGAAGTGACCTGCATAGGCCTATTGGTCATTCCTGTTTCTTATCTAGCGAATTATAGATTTATTTTTTCTCCCATTTGCCTAAGAAGTGTTAATTCCATTCAGGGCATTTGCAAGCACTGCGTAGACTGAGGATACTGAGCCTGAATTGTCAGCACCATGCACACTGCAGATACTGAGCCTGCATCGCCAGCACTGCGTAGACAACTGCAGACACTGAGCCTGCATCAGTTCTTGCAAATATGATTTTAACCAGGATCTTGCTTCACCTTAGTTCTCCAGTGTGTAGCTTTTGGCATTTTGAAGTCAAGACTTCAGGTTGGTCGCAGTTTCCTGAATAATTAAAAAGGCTATTCCTGTCTCATCAGTGCCTGGTACTCTTATAATTCTTTTATATTTACGTTTCTTGTCTGCAATATTCTAGTTGCAGGTATGCTGAGGCTAACAACCTGCTCCCCCACACCCCATTATTGAACCGTTGTCTGGATACCATTTGATAAACAGCCTTGTTTCCCTTCTGGTTTAGCCGATGCCTTTGTAGCAATATCTGAGCTGACGCTGGGCTCAAGAAGCCCAACCATTCCCGAGGAGGAATCCGGGCAGGATCGAGCAGCAATAGCCATGGCTATCCATTTCAGAGACAAGAGAAAAGGCAGAAGAGGCCCAGAAACTGACCCAGACCAGACAACAAGGCCCTTCTGTGGCTCAGGGACTGGTGACCCAGTGATAATGATGAGAGCCACGCCCACAAGGGCCCAGGCCACAGCACCAAGAAGGGGACTCCTGAATGTGATCGCTTCTTAAAATTGTCAGCCAGGGCTGAGGAGATGGTTCAGTGAATAGAGCACTAGCTACCCAAATGTGAGGGCCTAAGTTCAAAACCCTGGAACCCACGTAGAGCCAGGGGAGACAGTATGCACTCTTAATCCCGAGAACTGGGGACAGGAGGGTCCCCAGAAGCCTGCAGGACAGCCAGCCTGCTTAGGCAGCAACAAGCAACAAAAGCACCCCCCCCACACACACACAAGGAGGTAGAAGGCCAGGGGACACCCAGCGCTGACCTCTGACCTCCACACGTACCGGCCTCTCCCCTGCATCACACACACATACATATCACAGATACAAAATAAATGCTTTTCAAGGCTGGACTTTGCTATGTAGCCCAGGCTAACCTTGAACTCGGATCCCCCTGCTTCTACTTCCAGAGTGCTTGGATGCCAGCAGTACCCCACCACGCCTGCCTTGCTTTTAATTGTTTAAACAAACCATAAGAGCATAAAAAAAAAAAAAAACACACCAAGAGCTAAGAAGAGGCAGGTGGGAAGAAAAACAAACACCTTCTAAAAAGGAAAATGTCGTCGCCGGGATTGAATTTTCAACCAGTGGCTGAGGTGGCAGATACGACACAGCTGAAGAAACTGCCAATGACCTGGAAAGCAGAGCCCAGGAAATGATCCAGGCCACAGCCTACAGAGCTGGCGACACCGGAAGTGTGTGACACCGGAAGTGTGAAAAGTGAACCAGAGAGGAGCAGCCCCAACATCTGTTTGGAAGAAAGTCCGGAAAGAGGAAGAGAATGCAGAATTGGTAACAACAGCAACAAAAAGCTCCCTGTCGGATTTTTATGTTTTTTTCAAGACAGGGTCTCACTATGGGAACATACTATGTAGACCAGGCTGGCCTTAAACTCACTGAGATCCACCTACCTTTGCCTCCCCAGGAATGTCTTTAATCTATGTCTCGCTGGCTTCTCAGGTTTTTGAAGTGCACTGGGACTGTGATTCCTTGGTAGAACGCTTGCGGCCCTAGGTTCGGTCCCTAGAGTCAAAATAGGAAACTGTAGCTCCTTCCAAAGGACGAACAACAGTGAGTCCAGACCTGGATTCCTCTACCAAACATGCAACCCCAGAGGAAAGTGCACGCGCCTAGCACCTCGCCGTGACGTCATCAAGGAAGGCAGCATTCTGTTCTCGCGTAGAAAAGCTTGTGCGCACGCACATGCGCAGGTGCCCACAGAGACCGGAAGCATGTGGCAGATCTCGTGGGGCTGGAGTCATGGGGCGCTGCCCGTCCTGGGTGCTGGGAACCGAAGTCCAGTCCCCTTCAAGAGCAAGCCTCCTATCACTCAGCCCTTCTTCTCCGACCGGAAACGGTGTGTGTGTGTGTGTGTGTGTGTGTGTGTGTGTGTGTGTGTGTGTGTGTGTGTGTGTGTTCAGGAGTCCGTGGCTGCACAGATGCACGTGGAGGCCAGAAGTTGCCCCAGATGGAATTCCTCAGGGTCCAGCTATTAGCTGTGATCCTGGTCTCCCTGGGCCCTCAGACTTGTTGACTAGGCTTGGCTGGCCTGCCAGGATCTACCTGACTCTGCCTCCCCAGCACCGGGATTACAAGGAGTCACCATGTCAGGCTATTTACAGAAGTGCTGGGCTTGAACTCCGGTCCCCAGGTTTGCTAGCATCTCCCCAGCCCTGAGTTTAGATATGGCCCCTAGACAGTCCCCCTCTGCCCTGGCCACACCCTTCAGTGGTGGTCTTCTGCACCCCGGAACTAACATTGGTCTTGATGCTTGTGTGACCAGTCCCGTGTAGCAGATGCTGACCTTCAGAGGTCAGGTAGTATCTGCTTGTTGTTAAGATTTTAGTGTATCCAGGAGCTGGGTGCAGGCTGAGGGTCAGGGTAGGGGGGCGTTGCCCACCAGGTACCCAGGGCCACGCGGCAGATGTAGAAGTCATCATAACGCCTGCCAGAGCTATTCGTATATGGCTCTCTGGTAGAGGGCCTACTTAGCATGCACAAAATCCTAGGTTCCATCCTCAGCAGCTCTCTCTCTCTCTCCCTCTCACTCTCTCTCTCCCTCTCCCTCTCTCCCTCTCTCTCCCTCTCTCTCTCTCTCTCTCCCTCTCTCCCTCTCTCTCCCCCTCTCTCTCCCTCTCTCTCTCCCTCTCTCTCTCTCTCTCCCCTCTCTCTCCCTCTCTCTCTCCCTCTCTCTCTGTCTCTCCCTCCCTCCACACACACACACAGACACACACATGCACACACTCACACATGCGCGCGCGCACACACACACAGACACACACATTCACACGCGCACACAGACACACAGACACACACATGCGGGCACACACACAGACACACGCACACACACAGACAAACACTCACGCACATGCACGCACACACAGACACACACGCACACGCACATACTCACGCACGCACACACACACACACATTCCCCTGTTCCCAAATGACTGCAGAACTCTTGGTACCTCACAGTGTGACTTTACCCAGATTCAGGGCCTTGAAAGAACTAATTAAGATAAAATAAATTAACCTTAATATGGCAGGGCTGCTGTCTTCGTAAGGAGAGAT